CATCAAGCTAACAGTAATGGTAAGCTACCAATTCATTATGCTGCTGAATCAGGTGATATTTTACTACTGGAATTATATGTGAAGGATTACAAGTGTAGTCTGAGCCTAACAAATAAAGATGGCCGGAATGTTACTCATTTTTCATCATTAGAAGGTCACTATCACTTTATTAAGCATATCACCAGTCAGTATCCTAAATACATTAGTTTACTACACTCTACTGACAATGAGGGTAGGATACCATTGCTTTGTGCCTGTGAGAGTGGTAATATTCAATTGGTCACATTTCTAATAAATGATATAAAATGTGATGTCAATGCTAAGAATACACGTGACAGTACATGTATCACTTTTGCCTGTTTATCAGGTAATCTTGATCTAGTACAATTACTAATACAACAGTATAAGCTTGAGCCTATCAATATTGATAAATATGGTATAACAGCATTACATACAGCAGCAGGCTATGGTCATACTCATATACTGGAATGGTACAGTCAGGAGTATAGTGTTGATATTACTAATCACACTAGCAATAACAAGTACACACTAGCTCATTATGCTGCTTATAAAGGTAAGCTACATTGTCTACAGGAACTGATCAACAAGTATCAGTGCGATGTTAATGCCACTACTACTGATACTGGTAGTACAGTTCTTCATAAAGCATGTGAAAGAGGTCATGTTCCTGTTGTACTTTATCTCACTAGTCTTCCTCAGTGTAATGTAGCAGCTAAGACTTCTAATGGATCAACAGTTCTTCACATTACCTGTGGGCACAGTGACTCTCTTCCTATACTCAAACATCTGGTAGAGAATCATGAGTTAGATCTGTGTGCTGTGAATGATGAGGGAATGGCTCCTATTCACTTAGCATGTAGTAAGGGAAGATTGAACTTGATCCAGTACATTATAGAACACATACCATCATCACTTGAACTACCTGTCACAGGATATGGTCATACTCCATTCCTTATTGCAGTGTACTTTAATCGGTTGGAAGTTATTAAATATCTTATTAGTAAGAAGTGTAATCTATCAGCTACTGATAATGAAGGGTCTGGAGCAGTTCACATATCAGTAGAGAGGGGTCACTTGAATGTATTGAAGTATCTCATTGATAATAATTATTGTAATCCTAATGCAACCAATCATCAAGACCGTAC